ATAACTATGACTGTACTAGGCGTTATGGAAAACATGCCTTTTAAACGCCATTAATTGTTCTCAAAATGGCAGTGAAATGCTAATTTCTTTCTCGAAATGTAATGGCACTTGCGTTCAAATAGTTTCAGTATTAAAAGACAAACTGTAGGGGTTGTAAATCTTAAGGGACCAAACGTTTTGAAATTCGCTCTCTCCGGCGAAAGAAAATTGTCTTAAGGACCATGTTGCTACAAAATACTAAGATAAATTAAAAAACTCCACTCTTGTGAATCAGTTTCTACAGCCAAAAGATAACTCCTAAAACCAGTATTTCCTAAAATTTATTTATATCAAATAGCAGACGTCTTGATGGTTATCATTAGCCCTTTAGTTGACCTCAGACTTCACAGAGGAAAGGAACATCAAATTGAAAAAAGTCGAGAGGGGGGGGGACAGGAGAGTGTTTCAAAGATGTAAGAGACAAACACAAAGGTGGAAAAAAAGGTGAGGTGAGTACTGTGAAAATAGTCGAATATGGCATAGAGTGAGGTGACGGTAGTTCATCAAATGCAACCTACTTAGACTAAGGCGGAATCCATGGTTTTAGGGCCAATAGCACCAAATTCTTCAACCCACTTCAATTTCCTCAATGAAATCATCATTAGAAACTGCTCAACCTTTGTCTTAATCGCATCTTTGAGATAAGCCTTTTAATTTAGACAAACGTAGGTGTAAAACGAATTAAGAAGGAATACTGAAACAGCATTAAATGATTTCTTTCCTACGGAAAAAAGTCCTTATTGAAAGTTGACCAATTATGCAACAACTTTCCAACTATTGTTGCTTTGAATCAGAAATTAGGACATAAATGGATAAAGTTCCCTAAGCAAAATACCGCAACCAACACCATTTTGATATGGCAAAGGAACATGAAAACCTGAACCGAACGTGAAACCCAATTTCCGTACCTCAATACTGACATCTTCTGCATTCTGTTAATTCCTTCTTTCATTCGTCTCATTTAGTTCTAGTTGTCCAATACACAATTTTCCAGTTCAACTTTGGGTCATTTCACTCAAGATAGGTTGTTGATGACTGAGCAATGGATTGTCTGTTACAAGTTTGAAACCATACCTATTCCCAGAATACAGACCAGAATCATGAAATGTGAACAGACAAGCTAGATATTTCTAATTTTCCGTGGTATTTTACTTTTTAAAAAATCACTTAAACCCACGGAGCAAATAAATGTGCCAAATAATGCGACTGTCATGCACAGGTAAGTGGCTTTGATGAAATGATTAGTCACCCTTGAATAAAAGTCGATCGGGTGAACAATGAAACCGTGAATGAATACAAGAATCTCATTCGAGACAGAACATTCTGGAAACCTCCCAACCGACCAGTAATCCAGTTTACGCGACTTAGAACTACAGTGATTGTATTTAATGACTAAGCACGAGGACCCATTGACCTCACTAGAGTGTCCTAAACACTACTCCATACTTAATATTATAGAGGGGGTCTGAATAGACTTACCTCCACGTGGTGCACCCTGGGCAACGTATACTCATACAGCAAAAAGTCTATTAACAGGCAGCTGACTTCAAACTACCATGACCCCATTGTATGTCATATTCCACCACTTTCACAGTACTCACCTCACCTTTTTTCTACCTTTGTGTCTGTCTCTTTTACATCTTTGAAACACTCTTCTGTCTCTTCCCTATCGACTTTCTTTCACTTTGATGTTCCTTCCCCTCTGTGAAGCCTGAAGTCAACTAAAGGGCTAATGATAACTATTTAAACGCCTGCCATTTGATATAAATACATCAAATACATAAATATTGTAGAGACAGCGTAGTTAATTTTGGAAGCACATTTGTCCTAGGAGATATTTTCAGAGAGTAGTGGTGATATATTAGTCACCGTTTATTTGTGTGGAATCCGATGCTATTCTATGAGAGAACATCTAACCTTATTTGTTGAAGGTGTTAAATTAGCTTTATTTAGAATTCAGGATATTTTATATTCTTGAACTTGATCAAATGTTCGTATTTTGAAATTAGTAAAAATACCTTTGATCACTTTCTTTTAAGCATCAAACGTTAAAGTAGCACAGCCTTCAACAATTTGCTGGAGATAGATCATCCCACCACTCTAAGTAACTATACATCTAACTACAGTTTTTTAGAACTGATCAAATATATATATATATATATATATATATATATATGTTAAAATAAAAATCTATTAACGCATAGGTAAGTCATAGTGCTAAAGGCATGGCGAATTCGATGCTTTACAAATATTTAAAATCTCGTCGATGCATTAAGTTCATAATCCCATCCATAAATGAGAATCAAGTGAAAGTTGTGGTATTCACTTTGTCGGCTCTATTTTATGTCTTTAGAAGCAAACGAATTCTTTCCTATCATCCTCTGTCATTTAATCGATCAATTCTGAACTCAAAGGATATTGACCATTGACCATTCTTCCAGGCGCTTGACCCTCGAACTTGAACTTTGAAAAGTTAAGAATCGGTTTTATGGAGGAGATCGCAAAAGTGTAGATGAATTATGTTTTTTTTCAGATGACCTCACCTTTTATCTCGATCATTATATAATTCCTTTAGTGGGGTGCGCAATAGACTTATCTCCACGTGGTGCATCCTGGGCAACGTATACTTATACGACAAAAAAGTCTATTGATCGGCAATTGACTTCTGACTTCAAATTTCTATGGCCCGACTATTTGTCTTATTCGACCCCTTCCACAATACTCATCTCACCTTTTTTATGCCTTTGTGTCTGTCTGTCTGTCTCTTTTACCTCTGTGAATCATTATTCTGTCTCCCAATGTATGACTTTTTGCCACTTTGGTGTTCCTCATCCTTTCTGTGAAGGATTTTTGCCACTTTGATGTTCATCTTCCTTTCTGTGAAGCACCAGTTGGATGTTCATCTTCCTTTCTGTGAAGCCTGAAGTTGCCACTTTGATGTCCCTTCTCCTCTCCGTGAAGCTCCGAATTCAGCTCCAGGGCTAATGATAACTATCATAACGCTGCCATTTGAAATAAATAATTCCTTTAGTTGGAATGAATTTCATGAAAATTCGAAAGGCTAAATTTGAAATGGAGATCTCAACTCTTATAAACATATAAGACCCTACTTAATAATATAAACAGTGATTTGGTCTACCTAACAAATAAATACCCCCGAATGTTTATTCAAACTCGTTGGTGACCTTGGAAATGCTTACTTAAATACTCTACACAAAGGACTGACTGCAATCTTCGATAAAATGAATAGAAATGCATGCATTTAATCAGACTATTAACTACTTTAAAACAAGTAATGATAGTTAAAATCATGAAAATTTTCTAAAGCAAACAGTTTATAAGAAAAAAACTAATATAAAGCTATCGTTTGTCGAAATTTCAAAAAATGCTGAAGTAAATTCAATTGTATTGACTTCCAAATCCATTTAAGTAGGCGTTTTCAAATAGACACCTTAGATAGTGCAATGACATTCTAGAGCCTCTTGGTGAATAACTCAAATTGAGCCACACTCTTTATGAGCCATATTTAACCGACACATCAGGCTATTTTGTTCACTCTTACGGCAGTGAACCCTACATCTTACCAATCGTTCGCCAAATAATAGTGGATCTCTCTTGAGAAGAGATGTAAAGTAAATTCAAATTACTGCCTAAGGATTTTCTGCGAAGGATCTTGTACTCTTAATTGATATGCTCCGAAGCAAATTGATTCTTAATACTCGCAAACTCATTTTAAAACGAGTTTTAAAATACTAACACCCTCCTGACTGAGAACTAGCATTATTTATTTATATCAAATGGCAGCCGTTTTGATAGTTATCATTAGCTCTTTGGTTGACTTCAGGCTCCACAGAGGGGAAGGAACATCAAAGTGAAAAAGGTCGAGAGGAGGAGGGGGGAACAGAAGAGTATTTTAAAGATGTAAAGGAGACAGACAGACGCAAAGGCAGAGAAAAGGTAAGATAAGTACTGTAAAAGTGGTCGAATATGACTTACAGTGGGGTCATGGTAGTTTGAAGTCAACTGCCGGTTAAGAGACTTTTTTTGCTGTATGAGTATACGTTGTCCAGGGTGCACCACGTGGAGGTAGCCGAATGAGTATACGTTGTCCAGGGTGCACCACGTGGAGGTAAGCCTATCGCACACCCCAGAACTAGCATTATGAAACTTCCCTGGTAATAAACTCGAATATTGCTCATTCTTTATTGGTCAGACCAATTCAATGCGATTGACCAATCGGCTCAATGGGTATACTTTGAGTGGCACTGAACCCGCGCTCTCTGGTTTTATAAGCGCTTTTGAATCGCACCGAATTCAAGTGTAATATTATCAATACTAATGTAAACTAATTTTCCGCTTAAATAAGTGCTGATTAAGTTTGAATCACAATTTAATTGCATATTTTTTCCGGTTGAACTTTGGGATGAGACTTAAGAAATAAACTAAATTCCTCACTATCATTACGACCAAGGAAGAATGGAATTCGTTCTAGATAAGCGCGACTTTACTGTGACTTTACTTTCACAGTTTCCTAAATTAATTTCATATCCAAACGCCCTAACGTCAATTTCAAAAATGGACTAGAGTTTAGGGAAATAAATTGCACAAAATGATAAGGTAATATTTAAAAATTCTAATACTTTTAACTCAAAAACTAAGGTTTAAATTAGAGGCGATGGTTTGAATTTCACCTAATTCTTGTGCACAAGAAAAGAAACATATGATATGAAATACATAAGAGATTACAGAAATAGTGTTGGCCCCGTTTCAATTCTGCCATTTATGTAAAAACGTAACTAGTTCCGAAGAGTACATGAAAGACTTCAAAAGAATAAGGTTTTTTGAATTTATTCGGAAACTTTCAACGGAGAATATTAGTCGTCAGATATTATTTCATAAAAGTAAATAATGAAACCTAGTCCAAAATAAATAAACTAAAAATTGAAATATAATTAAAATCGTTAACGGATATCTTCTTGGAAAGATATGAAATTTAAGTTAGATTAATATCAAATTGTAGAAATTAACGAAATATTAGCTTACCATCATCAAAGACTTTATTCTTATGATCGAGGAAAGATTTATACGAAGAAATAACCACAGGGAAAACGGGAAGTTGAGATTGAATAGCTAGATGGAAGGCTCCCTTCTTGAAGGGCAAAAGACGATCTCCATTTCTATTCCTGGTTCCTTCGGGGAAGACAAACATAGTAACCTGAAAGAAGAATTTGCTCAAAATGGAAGGTGTTAAAGTTACATGATCATTTTTGACCATGTCTAAAGCTTTATGCATCGTTGCTATGGCTTTGGCATGATCATCTCGGGCTATTGGAAGAATTTTTGTAAAATAAATAATCGGCCAACCTAATCCAACGTACTTCAAAGAATTTTTGACAATAACAGAACAAGGTTCTTTCCATAAGTGGGAGACAGCTAGAATTAGATAGTACTAAATTAGTCAACATCTCATACCAATGGAATCAATAAAGCTCTGATGATTAATGACATAAATACACTGACGATACGCATAACAATTCTCCAATCCGTAGATTTTAGGACGTAGGCCAAGAATTTTCTGAGAGAGGTGAATCAGAGGTATTACGTCACTTGAAATATATAAATAAACGACAAAAGCTCACCAACTATTTTCGTAGGATGGTTTTCCTTTGATAAGAAATGTAATTGTGTAAAACACTGAACCGACGTGTATGATCATCAGAAAGAAGAAGTATTTTGTATAGTAGCGTACAAATGGAATTTTGTATAAAATAAATAAAGTCGTTATGATTGATAATATGAGCAAAATTTTTATGATAAACATCGTTGTTTGTGATCTAAAAGTTCAAATTAAATGAAGTCAATTAAGGCTTCTAATGATATGCATGTAAATAATCATTATATCTACAAAAACCTCAAATTCAAATTGGTCGAATTAGCAGCTAACTACTCGTAACCTTGAAGCTGGAATCACTTAACAAAATTGCTGTTGAAAAATGTATTTACTGATTTCTAATAAAGATTAGAATCATTAGTAATATTTTAATTGATATATTTTATCTGTTGGTGTGAAATTTAACTACAACCGATATAATTTCGGATATTATTAGAACTACCACAATCAACAAGATAAAGTAATGAAATATTTAATTCACCTCTTTTAGTAAAATTTAAGTAACGATTATTCACTTTTAATCAGTGGCAATGAAAAGTTTACGATGTTTAAACTCATTGGTCTGGCTTTTGTTATTTGTGATTTTCACGGGAAATTGTCATTATTTCAATTGAAATTGTGCTCGTAAGTGAAGAATATTTAGAAGGCTATATCATAGCCATATGACTACTTGCTTTTCGTTCGAGAAAACATTTTAAAAGCATACCCTAAACCTTGATACATTTCTGGCTTTTATAATACGAAGCTCCTTAATTAAATGAATGGTTCGGTTCCTTATACTATATGAAAAATTGAATGAAACTTCAATAAACTCTATTTTAGATAATTGGGTTCGATATGAAAACACTCAACAAATGGAAGTAATTATATAATAACAATTATATTAAAGAATAAAATGGTATCTTTACGTTGGTTGTGATTCTATCTATTCTAATGTGGTCTCCAGTCATTGATATATATACCCCTAATACTTTATCATGCCTAAGTAATAGAGAAATTCGGAGCGTCTCTGCAAATATTCATTATCGAATCAACTCAAAATTACGAACCGAAAATTATTCACATAAAGAAATAATGCCACATTTTATTGTTACTAAAAACATATTACTAGTGATCAAATATGTTTGATAGGGAGCATCCGTTATAACTTCGAAATTTTTAACACATAAAAACTAACATTAGCTGACTTTGAAAAATTTGATGCCTATACTCAAGCTAAGTGTTACCGTACTTGTGTTTTCGTGATTTACTTCACACGTTTTAAGTGATAGCAAATAGAGAAGGTAGTTTTTGGCCCACTATTTTAAAATAAGCCCTGATGAGGAGTAATTCAAATGATAAAACTATTTGATATGAATCAATATTGATTTATTTAAATCTATTTATTTCGAATTGCAGGCGTTTTGATAGTTATAACTAGCCCTTTAGTTGGCTTCAGGCTTCACTCAGGGGAAGGAACATCAAAGGGAAAAAATTCGAGAGGGGGAACAGGAGGGTGATTCAGAGATGCGAAAGAGGCAGACAGACATTTAGGCAGAGTAAAAGGTAAGATGAGTAATGTGAATGTGGTGGAATATGGTATACAGTGGGGTGATGGTAGTTTAAAGTCAGAAGTCAACCCCCGGTTAATTGACTTTATTGCTGCATGAGTATACGTTGCACCACCCATACTCCATATGAATCAATATATAGGAATTCATTTCAATGGACTTTTGATCAATTCAAACGATGGCTTACTTCAGTGGCGCTTAAGTTTAGGTTGAACCACAGAAGTTAGACATTGCTTCGAATTGAATTTGAATGAATTCCCAGCTCGTTACCATTTCCATAATACTCCATAAGCTGAAAATTTCAACATTTGGTGCTGATTTTGCTCGAAAATAAAAGTGTGCAAATGAATCCATGATTTGATTCCAGTTAAATATTTTTTCACTCTCTCAAGCTCACCTTCCTCACAAGCACTGACTTTAATTCAATCAGCAATTGCCTAGTTTTATTATCATTGTAGTGATTTATCCGAGTACTCTTTGGACATGAAAACGTATTTGATTATTTTGTGAATTACTAATGCTACCAGTTTATCAACTTATATTTACTTGTCTGGAAGGAAGTGTTACTTAATAAACTACTTATTATCGATTCTTTTGGCGTAAATTTTTAAGACTCTCTGACCATATATGTAAAAATGCTTCTAATTAATAGTATTTGATATCAATTTAACATTATTCAACCATTTAAAAATATTGCTCATTGAAAAATCGCATTATAAGTTTTGACCGAATGAAATAGTATCAATATTCATCACATTTTATCAGTTTTATCGTCTAAACATGGCCTGTCCGCATTGTGACATCTGCACAAGGCAAATAGTTGCAACACACGCAACTATAACTCATTGTGAACATAAATTCCACATCCCATGTTTGCTGAATTGGACTGCTAAAGAGGTCATTGGTTTCCATTGCAAATGTCCTGTAAAATCCTGTGGAAGTCGATATGAAAGTTTCAATATCACTGAACGAAACGGAAAACTTGTGCAGTGTCTACCTTCCCTTAAGTGTCCAGTGTGTTGGGAAGTTCTTCAATATCCCTTCACTATTACGGACAGTTGCGGACACGGCTTTTGTTTTGGCTGTTTAAGGGAATTTCTCAAAGGTGGCCATATTTGCCCAGTGGATAGAAGAGCAATAAAAGGTTTCTTTCTTTTCGATAGATTTCAGCTATGTGAAAGAGATAAAGAGCAACAACTATTCACATGAGCAAGCGTAAAAAATTCCCTTTTGTATCACTGAATTTCTCAATTTACAAAATAAATGTTGCGGCATGGTGTGGATAAATACTTTTCAATTTAATTCTGGGGTTTGGGGTAAGTGTTACCTAGGCCAAAGGAAAAACAGAATTTAAAAAAGACTAATGATAATGATGATGATATTGGTAATAGGAGGCATTAATGGTTGCAGTTTTCAGCGTTATTATAGGAAAGCAGATTACTAACGGAAGTATTATTACCACTGGGTTCAAAGAAACGCAGTTTTTTGCCATTCATAAGGCAAACCCCGAAAAGTTCAAAGTTTGGGATAAAATAAGTACATGAGAATAAGGTTTGAATATTATTATTCAAAAATGATAAATGAGTTAAAGGGTTACTTTATTTAACTTTTCAAGAACTGAACACCTTCTTCTAAGAGATTGTAACTGATTATCGCTCTGATAAAATTTGATTCATGCTCAGTCATCCCTATGACAAGATTTGGTTTGGGTTAGCTACCATGCCTCAATGGTGTAAAGGAAAAGGACGTATAGTGTGGTGTAAGTTCATTTGGGCTATGTCTGACTGACAAGGGGCTTAGCCATTAAATACAATTTTGGCTACGCTGACAATTCGGTGACTATTGATCGTTGATTAGCTGGTAGGTTATTGCGCTAGTGAGCTCGTTTGCTCCCTACTACGATTAGAATAATGTATGCACATTTCAAAAATTTCGAGCACACAAGGGATTCTTTGGTACATTCATGTTAAAGTCGTGTTTCACACAGGATAAAACCAAACATTTTGAGACCCATTTTTGACCATTAAATCCCAGAATTTCTGGTTAGTCCATTTTCACGATATGAATAGCTTTATATTCTAATGAATTAATTAATCAATTTTTTACGTCACCTCCATTCATTAGCCTCTCCTTGAAACCATGAGTAACTAAATGAGATAAGTCAAGGGCAGGTCTCCCTAGAAGTTCATAAAATTATGCACATAATGCATGGAACCATAAAAAATCCACAACAGTGAGAGTGAATGTTAGTACTTCCAGTCCGGAGTGCGCAGAGAATGAATGTACACTTATTTAAGACGATATGAATATGGAGGCCATGAAAAAACATTGTTCTACATTTCATAAATTTACGATAGGTGGCATTTACTATTACTACGAAAGAATCAAATGAAACGATTGTTATCTAACGAAGAAAGCCTTCGCAAATAGGCTTAATTCATTCATTAATGATTAGAGTTAACCTGTCGAGAATTTCCATAGTGATATAGCAGCATGAATGACTATGCTTATTTCTGCCGTTCCATCGCTTTCATGCCATTTCACACCTTGGTCATCACAGATGAACACAATTTATTTTATTATATTTTCCCGTATTGTGAACAGTAAACTTATTCATGTATTTGCCAATATGTTGGGTCTCCTCCATCTTTGCGACTCGGAATAAATCCTTTGTACAATATGGTCTACACTTCTACGGAAACATTAAAATATCTTTTTTAGGAAATACTTTAACATCAAGGTTCTGAATCAAAGCAAAATAGAAACAGTTTTAATTTGGTCAAGATTCAATTAATGTTTGAATAATTCATGAATGGAATGATTTGCATGTAATTTAAAAGCCAAAAATCCAAATTTAAAGAAAGCATTATAAAAGTAAAATTTAACTATTAAGTATGTTAATGACTCCTAATTTTTTCTTGATAATAATTACTTCTTAAAATTAATTACTCTGCACAACGAAGCAGTTTTTATGTCTTTATTTGTTTGTTCATATCAACAACTTCAAAAATTCTGGCGCATCGAGTAGTATTTCTTCGCTTGCTGTTATGCGTTTGAAGGAGTTTATAGAAATTCAGAGGAATGGAAATGTTTGTAAACTTTGTAACGAGACTTTTACGGGAGAAAATGCTACCCCTTCTTCGTGTCAGCATGCATTTCACGTAGAATGTCTTAAAACTTGGACTAAGGAGCATACAAATGGTGGCAGTTGTAAATGCCCCTTAGTTAATTGTAGTGAAGCTTACACTGCAATATTTATTCGTTCCACACCCGGTGGAACTATGAAAGAGGCTATTTCTCTCGCTGTAGATAATCAATGTCCTGTATGCTTTGAAGATATGAAGCCCCCAATTGCTACTCCGGAGTGTTGTAATCATTGTTTTTGCCTCACCTGTCTTTCGGATTGGTGCAAGGTTCAGCATGCCTGTCCTCTTGATCGTAAAACTTTTGAACTTATGCTTCTACATGACTATATAGGTGGTCCAGTCGTAGATAGGGTAAGTTGATATTACTACGATCATTATCAAATGGTCTAGTTTAGCAGAATTATTCTAGCTATTTTTCTTTTAGCGAGTACCACCACCTATAGAAGCACCAATTGAACCGGTTGTTGAAGATAACACCTACTGCGAAGTATGCCATTCACCTGATGATGAGGCTAACCTTCTACTCTGCGATAATTGTGATAAGGGATATCACACCTACTGTCTCTCCAATCCTCTTTCTGAAATTCCAGAGGGGGATTGGTTTTGTCCCGAATGCGAACCCTTGGTGCGTGACGCAGAAGCAGAACAAAATGAAATTGAACAAATAGGTTACAGACTGGGTGGTCTCGATAGTGATTCCGCAGAAGAATCAGAGGGTCTTGAACATTCCGACAATGATAGCGATGATAGGGAGAATTTGCCCTTTATGGAAAGCTTTACAATCCGCACTCAGGAACGGCTGGTAAGACAAGCCATGTCTCGGCATCGTGGAGCTGGTCTACTGAGAGATCTCATTGAAAATTTGGAGAATAGAGCTAGGAATGAGCAGAGGCAGAGACGTACTCGTTCTAGACGAAATCAACAGAGGCGACGACGTGTTAGAGTTGATGATTCAATTGATGAGTTTTTAAATCCTCCTCAACCAGAACGAGTGAGTCTTTGCTTTCTCAATAAATGCCTTAATAACTAACATTGATTAAATGTACCGTTTAAGTAATACACGAACGACCATTACTTCTATGTTAGAAATTTACAGTTTATCAGTTTGACGAAAACACGTAGTTATTTTAGTTAATCTAAAATGTTGAACGATTTTGCTAACTATTCACGGAAACCACGATTCTCGTTACAATGCAATTCGGATCTTTCCTTGATGTCCTTTTATTTTTTGTTTTAATCCTCCTTTAAAATTCCAACTGTTGTAAATTTTTCATTTTTCGCCGTAATAAACTTTATGCAGGAATCATGTCTGTAACTGAACACTTTTTCTACATAGTTGCTTACTTGGAACTGAATTGATATTTCATTTACGTTTAACTGATTTGTTCGTGCTCAATTAAAGCTTTACTGATGATAGCTTGAAGGCCGAAGAAGGGAAACTTCTGTTTGAATGACTTGCATTTGATCAAGTCTCGCTCAGCCAGTATTATCCAAAATCCGACTTCATTTACCGAATGTAGTCAGTTACCAGTGCAACCGTCCCATATGCTGCCGATGGAAAACTGAGTTGAAGCGAAACTCCCTTTTCCAATCATTAGTCTTACGCTGAATAGTCGTTTTCCTAATATTTGTCTAAATGAATGGAATTTTTGTTTATTCTAGCTAACGTAAATGAATTGTTTCTGTAGATAATTAGCTCATTCCGATGTCCTTTTAAGGTCATCTTTTATTTATAGTTTCACTTATAGGGGCCGCTATTTCGTTTTTATTGAAGGTACTTAGAATTTTAACAAATGTTTTTTGAAAATGTATTTCATCACGAGTTAAAAAAGTATGTCTCTATATGTGTGTGTGGCCAATCATGCTCTTTTCTTGGCATATTAATATGTTTGTCAACGTTTATGGGCTTAGGTTCTAATATTTTAAGTTGGGAATGTATCTTTGAGGTATTTTCAATCAGAAGAAGGGATGATAACTTGTGTTTCTTACTTTAATTTTGAAAAATTTGGCTCGATTTCATTATTTACGCATCAATAATTGACTGCTATGAGGGGTCAATATTGATACCAAAATCTGGGGTTTTAAATTGGGAAAATATTGCAATCATATTTGATATCACCTGATTTATTTATTGTATGACTTTTCCTTTTTATGCTCGAGAAAACGTTGATGTTGTTATAGGATGTTAATTCAAGCATACAAATTATAAACGAAATAATTAGCTGGAAGAGTGGAGTTAATTTTTTAGTTAAATGTGCGCATACCTGCCTGTCAAGTCAGGGGTCAGGAAATCTCTCCTCATAGATGAATTGAATTACAGTACATAATAGTAATAAGGGCTAATGACTTATGTTTCATAGCAGATAGTCTCCAGGGTTATTGGTCAGACTTAGAAAGTGCAACATTATGATCAACTTACACTTCTCCCAAGTCAAAGGGTACGAGATCGGTGTTCATCAGTACCACATAAAATAATGTGGTTGCCGGCTAGATGGTTTATCACACGAGAAATGGTGGAATGTAAACCTCCTTTTCCTTTCCGATTCTCACTATTTCCTTTTCTAATGCTTAGTGGGCTTAGCAAGTATACCCTATTAATTCAATGCTTTTGCTTATTTTAATGGTATATACCCTTATTCCCTACATCTGTTTGTACTTTTGACATTAATTCTGTTCTCCTCCCCTATTTCAGCAAAATGAACCAACTACAAGTAATGGAAGAGGGGGTCTGAGGAGGAAACGTAGACGAATTTTAGGCTACGATTCCTCAGATTCCGAGGTTGAAGATGATGAGAGAGCAGGGCCTTCAAACAGTCAAAGCCCTGATCACAATATCATCACTCCTCGTTCAACGCCTCCCCGAAAACGTCTCAGGATTCTCGACGACACTGCTGACTCCCTCCCTTCTCCTATTAGGCCTCAACGAAATCTACACCGGACTCATGATACAAGTGAGGTAAGTTTAAAAGCTCTTGCGTGCTTTTGTTTATTTACCGACTTTCGAAAACTGTCATTATTTTTGGTTGTTCAAAGGATTCACAAATTTTTTGTTATGGTAAAGCACTTAGTTAAAGGGAATGAGTCCACTAAGTAATAGAATAAAGGAAAAGTCAAGAAGGATCGGTCATGGAATCAAGGCGTTAAGAGTCTTGCTGTTGAAATTATATAAGCATTTAGTAATCCATGTAAAGTGATGCCTTAATGTTCAGATTTCATAATCTTTTTGTTTGAAAATATTTCCCCAATATTCTTACTTCGTTGAACGTTTGATTAACGTCTGTAGGTTTAGATTTAGTCTTGTTTAATTCGCATTTTTTATGACCAAATGCACAGGTAGGTAACCACATCAATGATTTTGTTAACGCTTGCTGGAATCTGAAATAGGGGTAGGGAGAAGAACTTGGTTTTCATTGCATCTCGTCTTCTATCTTCATTTGAAGTTGGTCAGGACCAATAATTTTGCAATGAATCAGTATGATTTGTTCCCTGTGTTTAATTGAATGCGATATAAGCTTGAATTGGCTTGATCAAAAGTCATGATTTATCTCTAAATCCAATGACGAATACTTACCCTATTTTGCAATCGATTTGCTATTAAGACAGGCATTTAGACTACTTTAAAACCCGGTTTTTTAAAGAACTGGTGATCTTCATAAAGTCGAGTAGAATGCACCAATCTTTGCCAAATTATGAAGCAAATAATAATGGAAAGCAATAAGGCAGGGAGTAACAAAGGAATCAGAATTTGATAGATCAAGGGATAAAGACCATCATAATGTACTCATCGTTAGTTAGATTTTTTTGCTCTGTTTGTCTTATGGTCAATCGTTTAATCCCCATCTGAAGGTTAGATCAGAGCAGAGTGCACCAATTCGTGAATTCTTTTGGAATGCCAGAGATTTTGTACAGATGTAAGTGAGTTATCCTTTTGCATAGTCGAAACTAGTGCCAAAATTCATATTTTTTGTTATATCGCTGTTTAAATTTTTTAGTTGAATTAAAAAGGATTGGGGATCGCCAAGTTCATTGAGTATCCTTTTATACTGTAAAAAGGTCAAGAGGGAAGCCTAATCACATAATAACGCTTTAGGAAAGAGACATTAGTAATCGATAAATCGAAATGGCCCTAATCAAGTGCTATTTGGGGTGCGTTAGAATCAACAAGAGTCTCGTAAGCTCTAAAGGCCCATATTTTGTGGGTTGGGTTTAATCAGAGTCATATGCTCCTGATCAGAACATTGTGGAAAAGAATGCAATGAAATATAAGTGCCTTAATGTAGAGAGGGAGAGAAGGAACGCTATGGTTAATCATACTGGTTTCCATGGTAGTACAGGCATCCCTCTATACAGGGTTTGATGGATTAATTAAAGACTACGCTGTATTTTCAGGTTCCTTCACAACGCCTTGCCATCTCCACCCCTTCTCACTCAGACGGTGAAGAAGCATCTATCGGAACGGAGGATAAGGACGAATCTTCTACCTATCGTCCTATTGACAATAGCTCCCGTGACATCTTTGCCTCATTTTCCACTGACCAAAATCTTAGTGGCATTGCCGAGGAGATCCATAGTATTGCCTCGCGACGAAGGCGAATCTCCACTAAATCGCGGCAAACGCGTAAGCGAAAGACAAAGAGGCGAAGACGACGCACAACTCGCAAGTCCACAGGTAATGTTGCAAACGCCAGTGGGCTGGTCAAACGTGCTCAGCGGACCCTTAGAAAGAGTACTACAAGAAGAAGGAGAAGGACGACTACTGGTACTAGAAGGAGTACTAAAAGGACTCGACTGAATTCTTCTCATAGACGCATTCAGGAATCTGTAAGCTTCTTGTTTAAGTCTTTGGACTGAGTGATAGCTATTTTATGGCCATTTTGTGCCTAATTTTAGATGTCTAGTGCATTGCAGTCTTCGCCTATTTCAACGCGAACACGAAGGAGTGATAGCAAAGTAACCATTTCCTCAAAACTTTCAATTTTTGGAACAGACCCTACTTGCGGGTACGTTTTGTGGCTCATAACTCCACCTTTGCAGACCTTCCATTATGTAGGCCTGATTAATTCTATCATCAACTCATTCGTGCCTCATCGATTTGGTTAAAAAATAATGTTGGCCATTTGGGTTTGTGTACATATGGAACGAATGGGACTACCTAAATCAATCGTCCCGCGGTTGTCTACAAATTAACAGAATCATTCTAACTGAGCAAAGCGGTTCTTCGAAGTTTTACAATTTGGGAGAAGAGGGGTTTTGGTGTATTGTTCATATTGTTCATTGTTCAGTAGATTATCATTTCTGGCTGCTTATTGTTGTGAAGCCTACTTCTCATGTTATCTTCCTCCGCCAAGAATCTTTTATGACTCTTGGAAAAGTAATGTTATCTCCTCTTAGCACAGTAGTAGAATCGGTAGTGTATTTGGGTAGTCGGTTTCTTTTGCAGCAAACTTGTTTTACTTATGAAGGTAAAAGTGAATAAAACAAATAGTCATTTACTAATGACTAAACGTGGATTTACACGAACTCGTCTGCTGGGATCATTGACCATTCGAAGTAACAGCAAACGTAAGAATTATTTCGACTAAGCATATCTTACAATCAACATCTTAAGAGAATCCTATATTTATTCTAAGTTATATTAAATGGCAGGCTTTAAGATGGTTATCATTAGTCCTTTAGTTGACTTCGAACTTCACAGAGTGGAGGAATATCAAAGTCACAAAATGTCTTGGGGGGGGGGGGGGGGACAGAAGAGTGATTCACAGTTGTAAAAGAGACAGACGTGGACGTGGTGGAATATGACCATCAGTGGGGTCGTTGTAGTTTAGAGTCAACTGCCTTTTTGTAGACTTTTTTGCCGTATGATTATACGTTACCCACGTGGAGACAAGTCTATCGCTTACCCCGAGAAGCATATATTAGATGTTAAAAATATGCTAACACTAAAATCGAGTTCATTCCAATGACAGTCAGCAGGTTAAGGCAGGTCTGAGCAACTTTTAGTGAGAGTATTTTAGGTCTGTATTTACATAGCACTTTTGTCCTAACACTATAAATGCATTTTCATTTTAGCCTTGTTGCCGACCTCGAAAACAACGAAGGGAATAAAAAGCGGTAAGTTTCGATTCTACTACTTCTATTATAATCATGTTGAAATGTGCTCTGTTCGAATCTTTCTCTCTTGATTAAGTTCTAATTGTTTGTTGGAATTCTCGCATGTCACTGACGCTTCCTAAACTCCCCTATTCCCATTTCACGCGCAATTCTACCGAGAATAAGGCGAAATTACGCTTTATTGGTGTGACTGATATAAATGCCAACTCGATGGAAAGATCCTAGGGGTCCATTGTTCTGCTATTTTAAAGATGACGAGGTCAGTACTCTTATGGGGGTATATCCAGTATTGCGAATGATCAAATTCACGTCTTGATTCTGAATGGCTGTTCTCAAAAGAGCGATTGACATTTTCGTTTAGAAAGTTGTGATTTCTTTTCATTGGTTGCTTAGAGTTACAGTCTTCTCTGAATAAGCTTGTGCGTATGTGTGGCTCAAATCCTAAATCCTTAACTATAGTCCTCAAGACAGATGTACTATTATTGAGGCTCCTCTGATCAGTTAAATGATAGAATGATATATGGCTTCTACTATCGCAAGTGCGCAGATTGAGGCTTAACGGCTTTTTACCTGAAATACAAATATCCTGTGGGGTTTAGTTGGAATAGCGCCCCTTTTATATATTAGGCAGAGGTGTATCGGCTTAGTGCCTCTTTAATGGGAAATTAAAATTCTTCCACGAAATTTATTAACCAACTTTAACCGGTAATGGATGGTTTTTTATGCTCACTAGGTGCGTATCAGTAGATATCTATCTGTCTATCTATCTATTTCAAATGGCGGGCGTTTTCATAGTTATCGTTAGCCCTTTAGTTGACTTCGGGCTTCACAGAGGGTAGGAACATCAAAGGGAGGAAAAGTCGAGAGGGGGAGGAACAGATGAGTGTTTCAAAGATGCAAGAGGCAGACAAAGGTAGAAAGAAGGTGAGGTGAGTACTCTGAAAGTATTCGAATATGACTTACAGTGGGGCGATGGAAGTTTGAAGTCAGAAGTCAACTGCAGGTTAATAGTCTTTTTACCGTATGAGTATACGTTGCCCAGGGTGTACCACGTGGAGGTAAGTCTATTACACACCCCTTATCAGTAGATATTGAAATAGTGACATCTTTATGGATGAGCATATTAACCTCAGGAAAGACTGATACTGGGGTTTATAAGATTATGTTTTTGAGCCTTCCTTTTTTTCATTATTCTATAATGAAATTTATCAGTTAGGGCAGCTCGAATATTGTTTCACAAACCCAGTTCCTTAGTTCATTGAACTCAAAAAGCACCAATTGATGCGATCTTAATTGCCATTTTATCTTTACTCATTAGAACTGCTCCTTCTACCTCGAAATCTCCTCAAAGTGTACATACTCCTTCATCCTCCGAGGGTTATTTGAGCAGACTACTGGCTCAGCAGGATGCTCTTCATCGATTCAATTCATTTAACATGCGGATTAATCCTGATAATTCCGTTTCACCCCCTCCTATTAAGTTACCCCCAAAAGTGTCCATAACCAAACCCATTGACGCTCCTGAGTCGAAACCAAAGCCTGACCCTTCTAAATCACATTCCACTGTTGAAAATGGTGTCAAGCATTCAGAAGTGTCTACACATTCAAAGAAATCGGCAGCAGCCATCTCAGACAGCCAGGCGAGTTCTTCTAAATCACAGATTTTTCCTAATTGTAACAGGAAGATGGAAGAGAAGTCGCTAGGGGAATCGAACCCAGGTCCTTCCACTACTTCAAATGGTATTCGGAGGTCGGAAGAATTGCCAAGTGCAACACACCAACATTCAATTTCAACCAGACAGTCAACATGGACTTCAGAATCGATTGATCGAGTCCGAAAACTCATCTTCGATTATCTTCGAACAGATCATCCCTCTTTAACGGACGAAGAAATTCGAAAGGAGCTTGCAAAACGAGCGATTACAAAGGTAATTTGAGAACCATTCTCATTTTTACTCCTGCCTTTGCTTTAGCTTCATTAACACATCCTCTTATCTATGTAATTAGTTCTATATTTACAAGGTCATATGGAACTATATCGTCGTGGGTATAATTAGGAGGGTGAGGAGAGGTAGGGAGATTCGGGCAATGGGAATTCAAGGTTTCTATTTTTATGTTATTAAGTTCGGAAGAATTCGTGCTTTTGTCTCTTCGAATTATATTTCGAAGAGGCCCGCATGGACTTCCATGTTAATGTTGGAGATTACATTATGTTTTTTTTCAACCCCCACGTCATTACCAACCTAAGGGCAGGCTTTCATTTAAGCTTAACCACTAAGCTTGATCTTCTTTTATCATGGCCTAGGATAGACATATGCTAAGAGTTATTTAAGCCTGGTGTTATCAGTGCTATTATTGTGGCCCCCATTGTGATATTAACACTATTTGGTTCTCCTTTTAGGTAATTCGAAGGACTCCAGAGAAAGTAACAGACGCGCGGATAAGGACGTTAATTGACCAATATGTGCAATTCTTTCGAATAAATCCCTTACAGCATTAGCTCCTCTGTCTTTACGCCGTTATTTGAATACCGTGTATTTTATTCGCGCTGTACTCCTATATTCCTGTTACTACGATGTGTTTTTTGTACTACCCGAGACCTTTCACAAAAGTTGAGTCATGTTGCATTTCACTACTTGTAAATTATTAGTAAACCTTTAAATATGGACGAGTTTTTGGCAGCTGATTTTAGGTCGTGGTGCTTGGAAAAGTAGTTCTGTGAGTGGAAGTATACTGATATGGTGTAGACCAAGTTGGTACTTGGAAGCTTCAAAAAGATCCTCTACCGACGCATTGTAGTGATTGATTTAACGAAGTAGTAGGATAGATCACATTATGTTCTTGATCAAGGAAAGATTACGATTACCAGTAAATGAGATCGGGTGGTGTTCAGTGTAATATGCTGCGGTTCGCATTTTGGAACGGATCTTTTTCTTAGCGAGTGCCAAATAGCAACATTTCTGCATGAGGTAATTACCATTTAAAGCCGGCTTGCATAGAATAGGTATCGAATGGAATTATGTTATAAGTCACTTAGAGTTACAAGAGTTTGATTGTCTTGGAACACACACAGACTGGTATTTATCAGTTAAAACTACGGGTTTACACATAGGTTGGTAAGGTACTGGTTTAAATAGCGTTAAAACCGACGGAATGCTGTATACTAGATCCTTCATGGGCAATGCAAAATCGATTTCTGAGACCCCAATCTCGTGAGATGAATTAATTGCATTAATATCATTTAGACATTGAATTCGATTGGACATCTTAAACCCTGCTTCAATAAACAGAAGAATTCCAAACCAGCTGTACTTATTTGCCTCTTTCTGCAGCGTCTACGACGATGCCTGGTAGAGCAAATTGTGGCTCCGCATTCTTTATAACCATTTTTCTTTCCTCATCATCAATTCTACCGATTTTACTCGTCCCATAAATTACACGCCCGGGTGTCCATTCACTAAACTATTTGAGTCATTTTCCGTACCAAATACTATTCCAAATTTTGCAAAAAGAGTACATATTTTTGGTCTGTTCTACCTGTCTCCCCTTCTTAACAAGCTTAGACGACGATAAGTCAGCTAGACGCTGGACCTTCTCTAAGGACATGCCTGATATATCTAACACTATGCCAATAAAGGCCTCTTATTTTTTTTCCCCAAATAAGCTTCCAAAAGTAATGTTGCGTAGTAAGAAATATTCCACACCGTTTTAATAATAAAAAATTGGTTTCTCGTCGCCAACTCGAGGGCACTAGACTTTATTTGACTAGGAGTTGGGGGGAATCGTAGTTATTCCCAACCATTTCATTTAAACAGTCGAAACCAAGTGCATGCATACCTGTGATTTTCATATACTTTTTGCTTCGAGACCAAAACGCCGATGAAGTGGTAACGGAATTTACCCAACCCCCCCCCCCCCCCCCCCCCACCCAAAAATCATTGTCATGCTGTTCGGATGCTTTGGTTAGCCGAATAATTATTCCAGGAAACAAGACAGTATTAGTAATGAAAATGCTTGTCTCCCAGTCAAACAACTTCATTAACAGCTATGGATATGGGTGAATAGTAGTCGTAAGTAAAATCACACGAGTATTGATCCCTCTTCCAAAAGTCAACCTCCATTTGTCATGGGGAAGAGAATTCGCCCTTAAAATCTTTCCTCCTATCTTTGATTGAGCAAATGCAATTGGGAACTGAGGACCTACAGTATCTGAGTATAAATCCATTAGTCCTTATCTCACCTCGATTTGCTATCTTCTGATCTCAAGTGGAAACTTAATTTGCTGAGAGGCAGTTTTCGATTTGGCGAGATTCACTCTCTAACGGTGGCTAGGCTGTACCTCATCGTTATATGCTATTTACTATGAAATAATTGGGAAATAAACAGCGTAATTACCGTGGGTCACTCAAGATCACAAAAACACTGTTTAACGAACTTTAGAAGCACTGAAAATTCCACTGCATGTTTTTTAGAAGTACATCAAAAGTCCAAAATTAACTTGGATTTAAGTTGTTAATTAGATATCGACGAAATAGGATTATTTATCGCAAATTAGTGTTAAATTGACTACTAATTGTTCAGTGTTTAAAAAGAGTGAACTGTTAAAGGTGTCTCAATTTAAAATTCTCATTTGCAATTAGAAGAATTAGAGTTGGTTTGGAAAAAATTTGCGAAAAAGGGTAAAAAAGTGAACAAGAACAATCCTTCAATCAGAACTTATGGGACATCATCTTCCCTCAAAAAAAGCAACTTATAAAAAGATCTCAAAGAGTCGAATTTTCGGGTTTGCATTTTGTGGTGTTAATCACAATGATTGCAATCCTAAAGAGATGAAAATAGAAACTGCAGTTTCTGCAACTCTCTGCATAAATTAGCTATTCCGCCCAACTCTATTACTTATCGCAAAGCCAATCTGTTGGTTATGGCTTGACCTCAAGTGACCTCTTAACTTCCACATAACCATTTTTTGTGGCGGAAAAATTGCAGGTATGATATCGAGTGAAGTTTGATGCTCTAGTTGGACGCCATGAGTTGGAAATACATGCTGAGTTGGACGTTGTGGCTGGGGTAATCGAACTATCGAGATTGTTAGCAAGCAGCTATCGGGAAAAACAGCTAATCAGATATTCCAGTAACAAGGAATCACACAGAAAATTCATAATAAACGAACATTTTTAGAAACTACTCATACAAAATATAATCTTAAATTGAATAGAGTATAACTTTTTAGTAGACTACAAACTGCGAAACAAAGATTACAATGTTATCATTCTGTTTTGAAAAAAGGGGATTATTTTCTTAACTTAACCTAGCTAAAAGGTCTTTTAACTGACAAACTGCCACCATTTATCAGATTGGCAACAGATTTTGCGAATTAGGAACCCTCAACTTCACAATGAGGTGTGTGTGCAGATGGGCACCAAAAAGTAATTCGTTATTTACTGAATTTCAAGGTAATTTTAACAAACCGACCTATGTAAAGATGGCAATTAAAAAAGCATAATGCAGTGCTTGTACACCTTACCTCATAGGTTTGCTGTCTCACTGCACATAAAGAATCTCCTGGCTCTGAACTGCTTGTTAGTTGATAATTTTTGAGTAGTGACTCATTCCACAATTACATAAATGCCATCACAGGAAAAATGAGTCTTTTTCAACCCAGATTGCCTAGGCTCAGTACTGATGCTTCCATATTTCCTCTCAATTCCTCTTCCAACTCCCATTCACGTCAATCCAACCCAGCTCCCGTTAAGAACTGTTTCTTACCCGGGAGTCTGAGTAGATCATTAGGTCCCTGTGGGGATATCTTGATAAGCTTTGCCGGGATATTAACGTTGTTTTACTATGGGTTAAGGGGAGCCCGATAGACTTACCTCCTCTTGGTGTATCTTAGGCAATGTATACTCATACATCGAAAAAGTCTATTGGCCGGTGGCTAACTTCTGACTTCCATCTATCGACCCGACTGTATTTCATATTCCACTACTTCACAGTACTCACCTTACCTTTTACATCTGCGAATCATTCTTCTACTTCCCCTATCGACATTTTGTGTCCTTGATGTTCCTCTCCTCTGTGAACCACAAAGTCAACTAAAGAGCTAATGATAACTGTCATAAAGCCTGCCATTTACTATAAATAAAATTATGGATTAAAGCTGGGGTGTGCGATAGACTTACCTCCACGTGGTGCACCCTGGGCAACGTATACTCATACGGCAAAAAAGTCTATAAACCGGCAGTTGACTTCTGACTTCAAACTACCATGACCCCACTGTATATCATATTCCACCACTTCCACAGTACTCACCTCACCTTTTCTCTGCCTTTGTGTTGGTCTATCTCTTTTACATCCTGGAATCACTTTTCTGTTCCCCATCTCGAATTTTCTCACTTTGATCTTCCTACCCCCTCTGCGAAGCCCAGAGTCAGCTAACTGGCTAATGATAACTATCAAAACACCTGCTATTTTATAGAAATAAACGTCACTAACAAATGACTCCATTATATTGCTTTAAAGAATTGATCGGGTACTTTGTTAGCTAATCGAGGAGCACAAAAGATTTAGGCCAAAATTAAGGAAATTTATGTACCGTAAACTTAATTTTCTCTGCTCAGGGAGTCAGCAGTTGTCAATACCATCACCGATTCCTATTAAAATAGTATTACTTATGAAATAGGATCTGCGTTCCGCGACTCGAAATATTGAAAGTACTAAAAAACATCCTTAATTTTCATCGCCGCCTATTCACTTCGCACCATGACGGGTGTGAATTGAAACCGTCATCATTTCTACCTTCGTAGACGGGCATACTCAAGGTGTTTTAGATCACCGCTGCACACGGTAAATCGACTTGTTGAAGCATGCAACTCACAATGAATTTAATTGTTGGAGAAAATTCACAATTTCTTTTGCTTCAGGAAACAAAGCTCAAGTGGAAATCGGGTCAGAATGGTATAATTTTATGCAGCAGCAGTCACATCTGTTTCTTGAGCATTAAATGTAACAAGGGTTACGATCTAATTCGCAATGTATCGATTTGGGGTAATAACTTTGCCACCCCCCGAAGTTACTACTAACAAATGTTAAGCTGAGGCAAGAAAACTCCGAATTAGTTGTCTAGAATGATAAATTTTTTAATGCGAAAAAAAGATATTAAAGCAGCAATCTGACGAGTTTATTATTTCTACAATTACTTACTTTCTTACATAATTGCCAAAATACTCAAGAATTATGTTGGAGATAGTGTGGGGAAAGCAGCGAGATTTGTCTACTTGGGTGTATCTTGTTTATTTTAAAATTTGGTCATAAAGAGAGGCTTCTAATCTGAAAATGAGCCCAGGGGTTGGGGTGACTTTGCACCTTAGATGACTGACACACAAACGATAGCAGTGAATTGGTTAATAAACTTTGTACGCTGAAGAACCTATTTCATTTGGAAGATGAGGAATATGTACACATTGTACCATGACGCAAACGGATTATACTCGAGTAGCAAGCGTACAAATTGAATCTACAGAATTAATGTTGCAAGACTGGGGTATGCGATAGACTTACCTCCACGCGGCGCACCCTGGGCAACGTATACTCATACGGCAAAAAAGTCTATTAACCGGCAGTTGACTTCTCACTTCAAACTACCATCATCCCACTGTATGTCATATTCCATCACTCTACAGTACTCATCTTACCTTTTCTCTACCTTTGTGTCCATCTCTTTTACATCTTTGAAACACTCTTCAACTCCCCCCCCCCCCCCCCCCCCCCCCCTTTTTNACTCTATGACATATCCGACCACTTCCACAGTACTACATCGCATTTTTTCTAAGTTTTCAACCTTTGTCTTTGAAACACTATTCAGTTACCCTCCTCTCGAATTTTTTTCACTTTGATTTTCATTCCCCTCTGTGAAGCCTGAAGTCAACTAAAGGGCCAATGGCAACTATCAAAACGCCTGCCATTTAATATAAATAAATAAATGTTGCAAGACTCTACAGATGCATTAAATTATGATGGTTAGAGTGCGTCATGTATAGAATCGGACTCACAATCTCTTCAGGTGACGGTCGAATGAAGTTCACATTTGCGCGAGGTTTCCATTCTCCATCACTACTCTCGTCTGCATCATCATCATCATCGTCAGCATTTCCACCAACGGCTAACATTGCCTTCAGCACAGACGGAGAGAGTCTATCAAAGTCCGTCCTAAGCCAGGGTAGACGTTGAGTGGAGGATTCAGTCAGTCTTGGCCACACACCTGTCTCGCACTTCATTAAAACTACATTCACAGACGTGTCGGAGACAGTGAAACTAGAGGTCTAGCAAAGAGAAGAGCGCTCAATACAACAACCATCTGCAGAATGAGAGAACAGATAAAACAGCTACTATATTAGTAACTCCTAGATCGATAAACACCAGTTATGAGACGGCAGTTACATTTCGTAGTAGAAAAATGACCAATTTTTAGATGGTACTGAAACAGCATTTAATTTGAGCTGCATTAGCAGACGTGATAAGATCTGAATAAATAGTATGTACAAAGCTACTCTGCCAAAGCAATATAATCGATCACAATTGCCAAATTTTTCGGTTTTACCAACATACGGTAGAAACACTTATGCAAAAAGGCAAAGTCATGCGTATAGCAAAAGGAAATCACAAGGACGCGCTGATGACAAATTCACACTACATAAAGAATGGTGCCATTCATGATTGGTGGTAGGTATCGATATATGGGCAGATAAATAACTATTACCAATAAATTGCACCGACATGAAGTGATATCAGAAGACAACAACATAAAAAATCAACTGCAAGACGCCAATCAGCAATCGTTAAAGGCAAACTCCCCTAAATTTAAAGAAAAAAAGAGCTAAAATGACATCAACGACAATCAAATATCAATACTCATTCCCCGTGAAAATAGGCTTTCTAAAAAACGAACTTTAAGAGAATGGTGGAACCAATTAAAGGCTAAAAGGACGAAATGAGGGGAAAGTGATTAGAACCCTCCCCACCACCCACCACCCCCCCNTTAAACCCCCCCCCCCCCCCCCCCCCCCCCCCCCCCCCCACCTCCAATTTACGTAAGACAATGGGATCAAATGACCATGAGGTTTCTGACAATGAAGTAGCATCCCCCAGCGCTCTACCATCTCTACCCAACACAATTAATCGCATCGTCAAATAAAAGTGCGTAGAATGTTGAGTTCTCGAAGTAGGTAGACTAAGAGGTACTTGCAAAAAGACTGAAAATAACTATAGAGAGACTTATCAGCTTTTCATGTGCGCTCTCGATTTCGGTAAATTACCTCAGCTCTGCTGGGGTGTGCGATAGACTTACCTCCACGTGATGCACCCTGGGCAACGTATATTCATACGGCAAAAAAGTATTGACTGGCAGTTGACTTCTCACTTCAAACTACCATCACCTCACTCTATGCCATATTCGACTATTTTCACAGTACTCACCTCACCTTTGTTCTACCTTTGTGTTTGTCTCTTACATCTTTGAAACCCTCTTCTGTTCCCCCCCCCCCTCTCTCGACTTTTTCAATTTGATGTTCCTTCTCCTCTGTGAAGTCTGAAGTCAACTAAAGGGCTAATGATAACCATCAAGACGCCTGTCATTTGATATAAATAAATAAATAACCTCAGCTCTGCATTAAAAGCGATAAGTTTTTTTTGCCACATTTAATTCAAATAATGAACAATAATATCTACTTTTATTTCTTATAGACAAATTCTTAGCTGTGAAGAATTTACTAAAAAAAGATAAATAAAGTTAATTGGATATATATATATATATATATATATATATATACTTTAGCAAGAAAAAAGACAGTAGAGACACACCTCACCGTCAACAGAACTGAAGAGGTCCAATGAGAAGGAGTACTCCCCTAGACCACTGGCTCCCACCCCAGTGGTTCGAAAACTGATTGATTTGTTGCCAATTTGTAAAGTGGGATTCTATAAAGCCGTTTCAAAATTGACAAATACTGCTGATTACCTCAACATCGGATAGTCTGACAGCAATGTACACTTTACTATCATCTTGACTCCNACTAAAGAGCTAATGATAACTGTCATAAAGCCTGCCATTTACTATAAATAAAATTATGGATTAAAGCTGGGGTGTGCGATAGACTTACCTCCACGTGGTGCACCCTGGGCAACGTATACTCATACGGCAAAAAAGTCTATAAACCGGCAGTTGACTTCTGACTTCAAACTACAATAACCCCACTGGATGCCATATTCTACCACTTCCACAGTAATCATCCTACCTTTTCTCTGCCTTTGAATCTGTCTCTTTCACAACTGTAAACCACTCTTTTGTTTCCCATCCCTCGACTTTCTGTTACTTTGATGTTCCTTCCGTCTGTGAAGCCCGAAGTCAGCTAAAGGGCTAATGATAACTATCAAAACGCCTGCCATTTGAAATAAATAAATGGATTAAAGCTACATTAACAGCTCCTAACTACCCGTACAATGAAAATGTAGGTTCCTAGGACCCAATAATTACCTAGTCTTCATTTTGACATTCTTTTATGCATGGAAATTGCAATCCTTATCTATGAATATTATTTACATAGGAAAATCTTCTTTGCATTTCTTTAAGGAACTTTGAAATTGGAAGTGTTATTTGAATGTGTGCACCCATGACAGCGCAATGATAAGAGGCGTGGTTGCATGACCAATTTCATTTGCCATGTTTGATAACACAGCACAGCGCCTTTCAAATCCATTGTATTTGCAGTATCAGAAGTCTCATTGCGTTTATGGCTTAATTAAACCATTAGATTAGTTGTACTGACAATAAAAAAGAGTGTTTCAACTCTTTCAAGGTCATTACACATTCTGCCTTAATGACAATGTTAACTCTGAAAGAAAACAATTGTTTTCTTTTTCCTTCGAATTTGTGCTTGAATCTAATAGGGAAGCGAGCAATTAAAATTGAAAGTTAATGCATTAATCATACCCTAAATTGCCCATGCATTAGCGCTGTTACGAAAATTTGAGAGTTCATGCAAGGTCAAACTGCATCCATTAGGTTGTCAAAATGATAAGTAGGACAAGAAAATGTCTGCCTTAAATTAAGTGAGTTATGCAACGAGGCTGAATTATACCTCCCATTTGGACTTATTTGAAAATAGATAGTACAACACAAATTTTTGTGAAAAAATATATTTTTAATAGCGTAAACTTTAATATATACCTGAGTTCCTCTTTCTAGAAAAATTTTTGGTTGCTGTGCGTTATTGCTATAACTTATTAATGCTATTTAATTGTAAATATATATATATATATATATATATATATATATTTGTTAATAAATGAAGAATAAAATCTTTTCAATAGATTTTTGTAATACAATAAACTGATTGCAGATAGATATTCTCACATTTAATAGGGTTTCTTATACGACTGAAATGTAACCAAACACCACTCGATTACCAGATATCAATTAATTTTAACATTTTATAAGTTCCTTTTGTTTAAGTGTACAACGCCGCCATTGGCTGAACAAAGATTTATTTATTTATAACAAATGGCAGGCGTTTTGGTAGTTATCATTAGCCCTTTAGTTGACTTCGGGCTTCACAGGACAGCTATCATTAGCCATTTAGCTGACTTCGGGCTTCACAGAAGGTAGGAGCATTAAAGTGCGAAGAAATGATAGGGAGGAAAGAAGAGCGATTCACGAGGAGAAACATCATTATCGAGAGGGGGAACAGTAGACTGATCCACAGATGTAAGGAAACAGACAGACACAGAGACTCAGAAAGGGTAAGACGAATACTGTGGTAGGGAGTCAAATATGACATGCAGTCGGGTCATGATAGTTTCAAGTGAGAAGTCAATTGCCGATTAGTAGACTTGTTTGCCGTTTGATTATACGTTGCCAAGGGTGCATCACGAAGAGGTAAGTCTATCCCACACCCCTGGCTGAACAAAGAAATCTCATGTACACTCAGACAGACTCGGAGGTGCAGCCGTGCTACTTTTCGTGTAGGGACCAAGTGAAGTCGAGTTTGCAGAGACCTCTCAAGCAGTCATTGTATCAATAATCCCTATGCTACTTAAAAAAACCTTTCATTGTATTTTAACGAATAAGCTCTGTGGCAGACATATCTCCAAAATAAATGCGCTCCACATCGTACGTCTCTTGTCATAGAGATTACTGAGCGTAGGTCAAGGCTTGTAAGTATAACAATCCGTTGCAACTTATCTCAGTCGTTAATTACTAGGTGCAACCGAGGTAGTTTTTCACAACTCATTCAATCCAAACCATTGCCGTAAATCTTTCCCATATAATTTTTTTGTACAATGTGTTACATTAATCCCATTTTCATGCTTGTTCAAATTGTATGTGGAAATTGCAATTGTAGGATATTGATTTTTCTCGCTTACATTGAAGCTTAGTTTATCCTCTCAGAGTGTCACAAATTTGAATTACTGCTGTTTTTCACACATTTTTCCACTCCATACTCAACATTATTGATCTTGGAATTGTGATTGCCAATTGTTGACTGCGGCTCTAGACAATGGCCATAGATTTGGTGACTCTAGGCTAGCCATTTGCGAAAATGGTACCCTAGCGATTTTCATATTAGCGTTAATCCATTTCCCCAAAAAGTGATAACAGAATACAAATTCGCCACCAATGTTAAAAGGAGGATGTTTGAGTTAGGTATTTGACACTTAACTTAACTTTGACACTTAACTTTAACGAATAGACTTTCTTCTTATTAGTCAAGGGAATGGATCATTAACAATTTTTTTTATTTAAAATCGATTTATTTACTTTAAATTTTGGAATGGGAGGGAGCCAGCTTTAGCGAAAACATAATTTTGAATTAATTTTAAATTATTTTCCTATTAGATGGAACGAGAAATTAGAATCAAACACTAACTTGGTTATGGCTTGACATCAAGTGATATCTTTAATTGTCGTGACAGCGTCAAAGTATTGGACTTTCAAAGGTAGGCGCATCCATAATTGTTTTAGAACAAAAAAGCAAACTGCTCATTTTTGATCACGTGTTTTTCCTCCACTAATGACACTCAAGAGATGGGATTTGCTCTTTCGTTCTCTTGGATTTTGACAGTGAAAAATTAGAATGCTCACTATTTTCAGAATAATTAATCCATATATTTAATTAAAAATTCTTTTTCAGATATTCACAATATATGGTATCAGCTTGTTTTTAAAATTTATATAATGTAAATCCTAACTGATCAGTAAATAATTAATTGTTCCTCTAGTTTTTTTAAAAATAAATAGCAGTTTATCTAAGAGTAGATTTATTTACTTTGAATTTGGTGGCAGAGAATTGAGTTCTCTTTATCAATCTTAAATAATTAGAAAAAAACTGCAAATCTTCCGTAATGTTAACCTTCATATTTCAAAAATTTTTGCACCTCTAGTGCTATAGTTGAGATGCTGGTGGCCTTTTTTTCTACGCCCGTTTGTCCTATTGACGTTCAAAAGCTGACCGGAGTTATGAAGTGAATGACGATATTACAAAGTGGTGGAGAAGATGATGAACAGTTTCTGGAAAGTGTGCTTAATGGGGCAATCTGGTGTCGAATAGTAAGAGGTAGAGGGACGAACCTTCTCGGAAATGCCGCTGATCCGATTGATATTGGGAGCCACTTCATCCCGTATGCGCCTGCTGGGAACTCATACATAAAAAGCCATGAGATATACGCATTTGCAAATTAGATTTACAGCTTCGTAACAGTACTAATTAAAAAAACTACAACCCCCCCCCCGATGAAGCAACTTAGCTTCCAGTTTAACGTGCAATTTGGATATAGACCACCTTTTGTTTTCGAAATAAGTAGTCTGCTCTAAGAATATCAAGCGTGGAGGAAAAAATAGCTTAGGAGTACTTGAGACCTAAATGAACCTCGGAGTGGACTTTTAAAGGGGAAAAAGACATTGAAAATCGAAATTTGATATGCTTAAATTAATGATTTGAATGCGTGATGGTGATCATGGAGCATTTGAAAGAGTAAAATAATGCCCAGAATTACGATTTTATGATCACATTGGAAATGCGAAGACGGTGTGGTAGGAATACTGGCATCTAAAGTGTCTTCAGGGTACACTTATCTTGCATTTAACCTCACTATGTCAGCAGAATATTATGAGAGAAAATGAGACACAATAAAAATGTTGCTACCAAACTACTTGGAAAGGGTCGAAGTTCAAGAAAGAAAGGAGCTGAGATGTAGATGTAGGCGATATAGACGTATAAAGTTCTATCAAGACTTGATGAGACATCCAAAGTCATCTGTGGATTCTCGATAGGGCATTACAAGGAGGTTGTGTGTAGAGTGTCTTAGGCCAACTGTGACATCTGGTATGTATGTAAATTTCATTTTTGGGATAATTAGTTAAAAAGAACGAACAGAGAAATGACATTTTGATTGTGGAATAATGGTCTCCATTGCACTGACAGCAACATTTAAACTCCACTTGTTTTCAAAATGGTGAAATCTACTGCAATTAAATGAATGAGAGCTACTCTGCAAAACACATATCAATACAATTATATATAAATGGACGTCCATTGTGAGGACCCAATTCTAGATGTTCGAAACTCCAACAAGAGGCAATCCCATCTAATATCCCAATCTAAAATGGTGTTTGGAGTTGAAACTCAAGTGGTAATTAAAATAACAATTGCTCCAAAGGAATAAATGTTGCTATTTTATGTTATCAGTTGGAATAGGAGTGGTGTGCTATGGACTTACCTACACGTAGTGCACCCTGAGCAATCTATACTCATACCGCAAAAAAGTCTATTATTCGGCAGTTGACTTCTGACTTCAAACTACAATGGCCCAACTGTATGCCATATTCTGCCACTTTCACAGTACTCATTCTACCTTTTCTCTGCCTTTGTGTCTGTCTATTTTACATCTGTAAATCACTCATCTGTTCTCCACCCCTCGACTTTCTGTTTATTTGATGTTCCATCCTCTTGTGAAGCCCGAAGTCAGCT